ACTTAACTAGGGCTAACCAGGGTTAGTAGCTGTTGCATCGACAGGGCTGCTACATTCTTTACTAGTTAAGCTGAACTATTGTTTGGTTTTAAGAAGACTTAAGGGGATACTTTTCGTTTAAGTTTTAAAGATTATCTTAGGGCAAGTTTCAGGGGTTTATCCAGCCTCCATGGCTCCAGAAAGTCTGGATGGAGTCCCTGAGAATTTAAAATTCTGTTCTGCATTTTCTCCCTTTTGATCAGGATTCTTCAGTAGAATCTTTGATCAAAACATTCAGTAATGGCAGTAGGGCACCATCCAATTCTTCTGGCCTCATGGCAAAGGTGGCAGTTGTTCTATTTCTTCCTCCTATTCCTGACTCAGAAAGGAGCCCTGGTGGTGCAGTGGTTAAGTGCTCCGCTGCAAACCCAAAGGTCAGCCATTCAAACCCACCAGCCTCTGTAAAGATTTACAGCCTTGGAAACCCTATGGGGCAGTTCTACTCTGTTTTGTAGGATTGCTGTGAGTTGGAATCCACTCAATGCAATGGGTTTTTTTTTTTGGCTTCCTGACTCTCCGTTTTCCTCTGTTGCCCCAGGAGGATAGAGATCAAAATTGTTGTGCCTTGGACGGTCACTTGCAAGCTTTTAAGAACCCGGGAAATACACAGTGAACTAGGAGACAGAACAGAAGCACTCAACATGATATTAGACTTAAGCCAATTAACTGGGATGTCCCATGAAACCATGATCCTAAACCTCCAATTCAAGAAACCAAATCCCATGAGATGTTTGGTTGTACCTCAACAGCCTCAGCAGCTGTTCTTTTCGTTGTTGTATGTTGTAAATATATCTATCACACAACTTTTGCCAATTCAACTTTTTACAGGTATACAACTTATTGACAACAATTACATTTTTGGGCAATTTTTTTGAGGCTTGGCTTCATGTGTAAAACAGTAAACACCCTCTCTAGTCCATTTGTCTTCCCTTCACAGCCAAACTTTTTGAAAGAGTAACCTACACAACCTGAATTTCCTTAACATCTCATTCCCCATCTTAATGGAACTAGGATTCATTTCCCTCCACCCCACCGAAACTGCTTTCCATTGAATATTTTGGTCCTGCCTTAACTGACATTATCAGTATCAGATATCATACAGTGGTTGAAAGCTGGCAGCCCAAGGCTTTGTTAATTTGGTGATTTTGCCTGGTCTATACACCATTTTAAAAGGGAATGTAACTACGATAGAAATGTAACAAGCAGTTCAGCATCATTGCCTTTTGCCTCTTGTTAGCTGCTGTCGAGTTGGCTTCTGACTCTTAGTCTGGAAGCTCTGCTGAAACCTGTTCAGTATCATAGCAATACACAGCCTCCACTGATGAATGGTGGCTGTGCAGGAGGCGAATTGGCCAGGAACTGAACCTGGGTCTCCCTCATGGAGGGCAAGAATTCTACTACTGAACCACCACCGCCTCCATGTTTTTCACCTAGCTTTCATGAACTGATGTTACCTGCCTAGCTCCTAAAAGCATTTGAGTTTGCCGTAGGGTAGACTCCTCCCTTAGCTTCTCAGGCCATTTTTTGCCCCTAGGCAGGGTGTAGAGTGGAGAGAACACGGGCTTCGGAGTCAAGTCAGATCTGACCTGGCCCTTACCAGTTGTGTGAATTTGGCTAAGTCATCTAACCTCTGTGAGCCTCAGTTCTCTCACTGTAAAGTGAGGATAAACAGGCCAATGTTGGCGGGGGTGGGGGCAGGTGAAGGTGATTTTGAAAAGTAGATAATATGTCTAAAGCAGCACCTAAAACAATGCCTTTCCTGCAGGGCCTGCTCCACAAATTTGTCCTCTATCTCCAGCAACTCTTTTAGTCTCCACCCGCCCTGCTAGGAGCCCTGATGGCACAGTGGTTAAGAGCTACAGCTGATAACCATGAAGGTCAGCAGTTTGAATCCTTCAGCTGCTCCTTGGAAACCCTATGGGGCAGTTCTACTCTGCCCTACAGGGTCACTATGAGTTGGAATTGACTCAGTGGCAAAGGGTTTTTTTTTTTTTTAGTGCCCCTGTAATGTTGGTACCTGACTCTGCAGCACAGCATCTCTAAGTAGCTGTGCCCACTCGGAAGTCCTGCCCCATAAAATGCTTTCCTGACTATTGCTAGAGGTGATACCAGAATAGTTGGATTCTGAGCCTCTCATCTCACTTCCGATTTTGCAGGATCCCAGGCTCTCTACCTTCTCAACACTAGCAGTTCCTCCTGACTCTGGCTCAGCTTCTCCACTCAGGCTATGTATGATCTTAGGGATCACCCTTCCTATCCTGACCCAGGCACAGACTCCCACCAGACCAGCTGCAAGGTCTGCGAGGCTACGAACTGCACTATAAAAGGGGCAAGGTGGGCAAACCCTACTTTTATCACTAATTGCACAGCAAGGATCAGCATGAATCCAATTCCCGGCTGCAAGTGGATCCAGGGCTCACCTTCCCACTCCTCGTTGCCAGCCACTTACGTGACAGTTCCTTTCTCTCTGACCCTAACCACCCAGAGTAAGATCAGACCTCATCCCTGGCTATCCTGAGCTGGGTCAAAACATCCCTGACCACCTGAGCCCAGGTCATCAGGGTGCAGCCGTAGGCTCAGGAGTCTGCAATTGAGACCAACTGCCCCCCTCCCCCGCTCCTATCCCCTGGGACTAGGTCACAAGCAAGGACTCTATCCTTCTTCACTGACTACCTGTGCAGCCTTTTCCTGTCACTCAGCCACCCAGAGCTGGGTCAACACAAATCGACTCTGTACTGCCAGGCTTTGCTGGCTCATTGCCCCTGTGGGTTCATTAATTCTCTAGAATGGCTCCCAAAATTCAGAGAATATTACCTATACTTAAGAAGCCTGGATGGTGCAGGGGTTAAGTGCTTGGCTGCTAACCGAAAAGTTGGCAGTTCAAACCCACCAGCCACTCCGCAGAAGAAAAATGTGGCATTTTGCTTCCATAAAGATTTACAACCTTGGAGACCCTATGGGGCAGTTCTACTTTGTCCTATGGGGTCGTGTGAGTTGGAATCGACTGGACGACACTGGGTTGGATTTTTTTGGTGGCGCAGTGGTTAAGAGCCATGGCTGCTCACCGAAAGGTTGGCAGTTTGAACCCACCAGCCACTCCATGGGAGAAATGTGTCGGAAGAAAGATGTGGCAGTCTGCTTCCATAAAGATTTACAGCCTTGGAAACCCTATGCAGCAGTTCTGCTGTCCTATAGGGTTGCCACAAGTCGGAACTGACTTGATGGCAATGGGTTTGTGTGGGGTGTACTTAAGAGTTACCCATTTATTATTACCAGAAAGGATATATGCGAAGAGATGCACGAGGCAAGGTCTGGGAGAGTTCCTGGTACAGGGCCTCCATTGTCCCCAGGGACGTGCAGCTCCCTCTCCCATGCATGTATATTCTCAGCAATCCTGGAAGCCCCAAGGAGCGCTCCAAGGTCCTGGGTCCCCTAGTCATTGGGACCTCAATGAATATGCATGACTTGGGCCTTAATGCATAGTTATAATTGATCCAATCAATGAATATGCATAGACGCATTAGGCAACTCCCCTCTCCCTTCCTAAAGTTAGTTCACCAGGTGTGGGACCTGTGTAGCCACTACTTGCCTGGCTATTTTAGAAAAACAAAGAGCACCTTAATTAATTACTTGGTGATTTTCAGAAAGCCGAGTCAAAGGGCAAACCAGGTTCTTTATCCCATACCTGTCCTTGGCCTTTTTCTTCCACACTCACACCCATGACTTTAATTAACCATCTAAACATAACGACTCCCAGACCTGACCTCTCTACTGAGTCCTGGATTTAAATTTCCAGCTACTTTTTGGACATCACTTTCTCTCCTCTTTGGCTTTCTTCAATGGCTTCCTTCTGAGAATGAAGTCCGAAGTCTTTTCTCCAAGAAGTGATGTAGCATCTGGTTATCTGCCTACCCTCTCACCTCATCTTTTCCGACTCTTCTTTTTGCTCACTCAGTTCTAGACAGTCTTCCTTGGGTTCTTCAAACATGCCAAGTATGATCAGGCTTAAAGCCTTGGTGCTTAACTTGGTGTCAATGGGTGGGCTTTATGGGGGGATACCCATAAACCAAAAAAACCCAAACTCATTGCCATTGAGTCAATTCCGACTCACTGCAACTCCACGTTAGAGGAGAGCTGCTCCATAGGGTTTTCTTTATGGAAGCAGTTCACCAGACCTCTCTTTTGCGGAGCTGCTGGGTGCGTTTGAACCAACCTTAGCAGCAGGGTTGATGAAGTGTTTTGTGTATGTGTGCCGTTTCCTGGGAATAGGACTTGCAGCTTTTCTCAGATTCTCAGTCTGAATACTGATACCCCCACCCCCAAACAACAAATTGCTTCTCTCTCCCCCTCCCATGCTGCCGCTGCTGCTGAACTATCTAAAACAGACCTGTGGCTGTTGTCATTTCTTCAGCTTTAAACCTTAGCTGTCTTCCCACTTCCTAGAGGACAGTGTGCAATCTCCTCAGCCTAGTATGTGAAGCCTCTGATACCCCAGATTTAGCTCACCTTTCAAGCTTTATATCCGAGTCCCCGCTGTCTGGATACAGAATGCACCTGTAGACTTTGCCTTTGTTCTTGCACTTCCTTCTGCCTGGATACCTTCTTCCCCATCTCTACCTGGTGACCTCCTCCTCATCCTTTAGGGCCCAGTCCAGAATGTAGCTCTACAGTTGGTTTTCCCACCCCGGCGGCCAGCCAGCCACCCCTGCTGTGTGTGGCTATGTACTTAGTTTTGCTTCCACTGAAACACATACCACCCGGATGACAGGCAGTTGTTTACGTAAGTGTGTAAGGTGCGTAAGGAGTGTGTCCTCTGGTGTGTGAAGACAAGGAATCTGCCTTAGACAATCCTGGGATCCCAGAGCTGAAGGAAGGAATGAATTCTTCCTCTTCCTTCCCTCCCTCCTCAGGCCGAAAGGAGCCCCACCTTTTCTCCTATCATTCTTCAAGGCAGAAAGAAATGACTGTCACAGAATTTATTGATTTTCTTTGAGTGCCTCTGGTCTGGCTTTGGAAGGCCCCTCTGGGCTCCTCTGGCTTTGTTTCCGGGCTGCTGCTGCTGCAGCTTTCAAGGCCCTTTTTTGCTTCTTCAGTTTTTGAGCCTCCTGGAAAACCTGGAGGTGGAAACGGGCAGGTAAAGACTTGGTAATCCTATGCAAAATCTCAGACCTGGAGCAGGTGGGGTAGAACTGTCTCCCCCAGATGGTAACCCCAGCCTTTCTCCACAGGGTTGGTGACCTGTGACCTCCCTTGGCCCACTCCAGGCCCTGGGTCAGTTCCATGCCTCTACCAGAAATAGACAACCCCTCCCTTCTGCTCCCACCCCAGTCCCGGAATGGGCCAACCAAAGCAGCATTTCTGACTCGTACCTGAATGCACAGCGCCTTCTTGGTCACCCAGCGGCGGTGGGCCTTTCGGTAGTAAAGAGGGGGGAAGGTGTATTCAATCCCTAGCTCCTTGCACGTCTTCTCAAAAACATCATAGTTGGTCTTACGGAGGTTTTTGAGCATTTTCTTCCTCTGGTCGATGCTCATGAGCAGATAGCGCTTGTGGGCTTTGTCCTGTAAGAGAGTGTGTGTTACTTTTAGTATTTTGTAAGTAAGTGGTGTGCCACTCCATAGTGACAATGGATGATCATTTTATCACTGCACTGAAACTTCCCAACAATCTTGAATGATATTACTGCAACTCTGAGGTAGCTATTGTCATTGTCATCCCATTTTACAGATGAGAAAACAAAGGTCCAAAGATGTTAACTGATTCAGGTGCTCAGGTTAGGACTTGAATTTGAGTCTACTGATTTGACTCCAAATCTTATGCTCTTTTCCCTACACCACTCACTCTCAGCCTCTCCACAGCTTAGCAAACTGTCAGCTGGCAGGAGGGGAGGGAAGCCTTGGTGCTCTTCACCGTCCCCCAACACCCCCCAGCCCAGCAGTGCTCTGTGAGGAACCTCTACCGTGGGGTTGGTGTTCCATGGCCCAAATGAATAAAACTGTGATCTCTAAGGTGCAGGTTCAACCAGCTCCAGGGAGCTTAGGTGCCAGGCACGGTACTGGACCCGTTGGTACCCTCAACCATGTTTTTATTAAATGTAACAGCAATTGCCTAATTAGAGCAGCTCTGCCACACACTGTGCTGAGATACGGCCTAAGGGCTAAGAATGTGAGCTCTGAAGTGAGACAGCCTAATTTCAAGTCCCAGCACATCACTTCCTAGCAGGGTGTCCTACAGAATAACACAATCATTCTGTGTCTGGGTTATTCCCTACCAAGTGGGATAAAAAAGATGGTTATAGAGGTTAAGTGAGATGATGCAAGTAAGGTATTCTGCATGGGGCGTAGACACTTTATAGGTAGTACATTATCTTGGCTGCTATTATTATTTCATGTAATCCTCACAATCCTGTGAGCAGGTACTATTATCATCCCTACTTTACAGGTACGAGAACAGAGGCTCGGATGTGTAAAGTAACTTCCCCAAACTCACGGCAAATCAAGTGGCAGAGCTGGGATTTGAACCCAAGCCTACCTGGCTGCACTCATGCATTGAACAAATGTTTACTGAGCACCCAAGACACGGTGATCATGTGCTAAATTGTGAACTTTTAACCATTAGTGGCACTCAGCACAGCCCTGTAAGGCTCCCATTTCTCCACTGGAGGCAGGAGGGAAATGTTTTCCACTGCAGCTGAGAAGTGGGTACTCAAGTTTTGCAGCTACCTGGTTTCTCAAGCTGCTTCTCTGGCCCCAGAGCCCTTTACCTCCCAGACTCGTCTCCTCTAGGCTGACACGTTGTTTAGCTGTGAGGGATACCTAAGATTTACCTTTCGATGTTTCTGCATGTGTTCTTCATAATTGCGGATCTTGACAGTCAAGGCAACAACTGAAACCACAAACCACAGAGGATGAGAGCTGGACACAGACGGAAGGAAGGGCCCCGGGCTGGGTTATGTTTTAAGAACTCAAGGAATAACAATCACCAATGTTCCTGTACAGCTCTCTAGAATTCCAAAAGCACTCTCAATGTCAAGCTCTCAAAAGACTTTGGATTATTTTTCCTTTAAAAATCATCTGCGGAAGGGCACTTCCTTAACCTGATAAATGTATCTTCCAAAACCAGAGCAAATAGCATTCTTAACGGTAAAACTTTAGAGCATTACCATTAAATTCAGGAAGTGGACCAGGGTGCATGCTACCATGGTTAGCTCTTTGACACTGCACTAGAGGTCCTAGCCAGTGCAGTGCGAGAAGATTCTGCAACTGTCAAAGGTCTACTCAGTGCCTCTCCCCTCCTTCCAGCTGCCACTCTTATCTGTGCTTCCACGAATGTGTTTTCAGAGTTATCTGCTCCCATTCACCTCCCAAGGCCCTGGAGGATCCTTCCTTCAGGCATTCTCTTGTTTCATCCCAGCTGCATTGTGAAGGGCGCAAAGGCAAAAGCAGAAGGTGGCTCACTACAGCAGGCCCTTCCCAGTACACACACTGAGTTCTGGGAGCACCACAGAGAGTGCAGTGGGAACCTTGGCTCTGACCACATGGCCCCTTCACACCACCTTAGCTGAAGAGTGGAGACACAGATGGGCTTTGGTTCCTGAGGAGTCTGCTAGAGCACATACCATGCTAGAAGCAGCTGGCCTTCAGAAAACAGTACTAATGAAAGAGTGGCCCCAACACTTGTAGCTGAAGAGGGCCATAGTTATCACCTCGCTGGTGTTTTGGCAAACAGGCCATCTATTCCTGCCACCCTGGGAGCTTGGTGGTGATAATGGAGAAACAGGTGAGGTGAGGTAAGCAGCCCTTTGCGGTCGAGGTGGTTTCCAGGCCAGGGTTTCTGGGGGCCAAAGGAAGCTGCAACTCATCTTCTCAAAAGGGCTATGAAGATCCAGGAGATGGGCCTCTAGACATTCTCAATGGGGGTTTAGTGCCAGGAGGGGCTCACCAGACTTTAGTCCCTAGTGGAGGGGAAAGGAAACATTTGGACCTTGTGCGGGTCCACTAGTCTACCCCACATGCTCCCAGCGGTCAGTGAAGATAAACTGTACCCAAAGCAAGGGGGAGGGCAGAGGAGAGGGGTAGGGCCTTCACTCACAGCTAATGAGAACTACTGTCAGTTCCAGCTCGAAACTAAAGCAGGAACATTATACTCTTGGGAATACACCCAGAAGTCGTGGCTCAGGAGCCAGCTTCTGGGGGCTTGAATCCTGGCTTTTCCATTTATAAGCAGTGATCTTGGGCAAGCTACTTAACTCTGTGCCTCAGTTTCTTTCCCTGTACAATGAAAGTAAAAACAGCATATACCACATAGTATTGTGGGGATTAGATTAACACACTCTTAGCACAGTGTCTGGCACACAAGGGCTCAGTAAATGTTAGCTCTTGATATAATTATCACATAGCTTATCTGTAATGCATAGAGCCTCACAGTTTCCAAAGTGCGTTGACATCCCCTAGCCTCTTACAATCCACCATGAGGTAGGTGACATTACCTCTGCTATGCCACCGCAGTGCCCTATTTCCAGACTAGGAAGCAGAGGCTCAGAGAAAGGGCTGGTGACTTGCCCAAGCTCACGATGGTATAAGGTGCAGTATGAGGCAGGACCTGGGCACAGAGCTTGGGATACTGAGTCCAGTTTTCATTACCCTTGGTTCTTCATTTCTCCCCCTTTCCAAGTCATATCTAATCCCTAGTGTGCTTGCAGACCGAGGGTACTGGATCAGGTACCAGCTAGCAGACTCCCTTTGCTGCACCTTCACTCCCCATGGGCCCCGTGACTAACTTCGAGCCTCTAGGGAGCTGGTGTCCTCAGGGTTTGCCACGATCTTGTTCATCAACCACTCTTGCTTGATCTTCAGCTTCTCCTTCTGTTGAACAGAGAGTAACAGAGACAGAGAATCTGTGAGGTCTGTCACCCTAGGAACTGGCCCTCACTGCCCCAAGGCCAGCCATGGCTACAGTCGCCACAGCAACTAGGCCCATAGGGCACAGGGCCTGACTCCACTCTGTTCACGGGGCATGGCCTCTGACCAACCACATGGCTATTCACATTTAGGTGAGTCCAATGCCACTGAAAAGAGAAATGGCTTGTTGGATGAATGCCCCAAAGCTTGCTCACTCATTCATACATCAGATATTTATTGAGTACCTACTGTTTGTCAGGTGATGGGGGTACAAAGAGGAACAAGACTCTTCTCCCTCAAGATGTTCTGGGGGTACTGACATGTGAACAGTGAATGACAGTGGGCTAAATGCTGTGATTTGAGTACAGGGATGGGGGTGGGCATGGGGAAGGTGTTAACCATGTGTCAGGGTAGGAGGGAATCCCAGAGGAGAGGACTGAAGGAGGCCAGTGTTTACAGCAGGCCACTTACCTGGTTAGCCATTTCCAAAGACAAGAGTCTTTTCACAACATCATCAACCCTGTGGAGAAACCATAGCAATGAGACATTGGGGAGGGGAGGGAAGAAGGGCAATGCTGTTTTCATTTTAGTTTGAAAAGCAGGGATGATCAACAATTTCTTCTTCAACAAATCAGTCTCTCTGGAGGTGGGGAGCCATTTCCCAAGGATTAAAAGTCAGCATGGATTTGGCTTGCTGAGCTGACAACATGGAACAATGTGGTATCTAGAGGAAATTGAGGCTGTCCGCGCACGTGTTCCAGTCTCATCACAGGGAAGGCAAAGGGAGGATTTCCATTTTAGCTAGAACATGGTCCAAGCTGTCTTGAGACACTTCAATTCTATCATCATTGTTTCTTCTCAAGTTACACTGCACAATGGGGGAGATGGAGGGACTACCCACCCCCCACTGAGCAGGACAGGGGCTAAGTAAAAGGACCTTGGCCTTGGTGTCAGTCAGCCCTGGATTCAAATCCAAGCTCTGCCCCTTAGTAGCTGTGTAACACTTGGCAGCTTGATAATCCATAAAATGACTGAACCCTGTCTCCTCCCTCACACGGCTGTTGTGAGGGTCAAGAGATGAGAGATTCTACAAAGATCCACTAGGCATGTTAGCTTCTTGGTATCTAGTGGTTGGTATAGAGTCTTCACCCAGAGTACAGCTGAGCTCTATCTGTCTCTGCTGCCCACTCACCTTCTCTAGCTCTCGGTCCCATTCTATAAACAAGCTTGAGATACAGCAGCCCAGGTCTGAAGCCCCTATCTCCCCCCACCCCCATCTCGCCTACTTTCCAGGGTCCCCTGCCATCTCAAAGAGGTTTCTTCCAGCTTACTTCTCAATTCCAGGGACATTCTGGTAGTCTTTGAGCAACGTGGAAAGGGGTGGGTCATCTTCTTGGCTGGGCTGGACTGTGAATTGAGAAGAAACAATGATTGTAAAATTGAAGTGTCCCAAGACAAGCTAGACTCTTGGCCGTAAAGGGACAGAAAACACTTGGAGTCGCTCTCACTGCCTGTTCTCCCACACTTGGCTCACTTCACACTCCCCCCACCATGTAAGAGACATCCAGGGTCTTAAGCAAAAGGCACCAGATGTCTCTGGGCTGTTTTCTCCTCTGCAAACCCTGTGGGCACCTGCTTTTACATTTCATGCTGGAGTGGATGGTCTTTCCTAAGACCTCGGACTGTGCCTGCCCCTCTCACACATCTGTCTGGCCCTACAGTTCTCAGATTCTCCACTAGGATGGGTCCTCCTGGGGACAGGAATGAATTTGATTCCCTTTGAATCCCCCACAGCCTAACTGGTCAATGGCCCAGACTAGAATAGCACTCAACAAACAGTTGCTGACAGACTGCATGAATAAATTAAAGGGGTTGAGGAAGGAATCCCTAGCTTTAACCAGTTGGGGTCCAGTCAATTCTGACTCATGGCGACCCCATGTATATCAGAGTAGAACTGTGCTCGTTAGGGTTTTCAGTGTGCTCCATAGGTTTTCGGAAGTAGATTAGCAGGCTTTTTTCCCAAGGCACCTCTGGGTGGACTTGAACTTCCAACCTTTGTGTTAGCAGCCAGTGGTTAACTGTTTGCACCACCCGGGGACTCCCCCCTAGCTTTAGGATGTCTGAAATATAAGCATTAAGTAGAGCTCAAAGAGAACCCTGGCACCCTTTGGAGGTGAGGGGGGAGAAGGGGGAAATCAACTTCTCTGCTACTAAGCAAATAATATTAATAGCAATATCGAGCACAGTGCTAAAGATGCTTTTCATTATCACTGAGTCCCCAAAATAATCCTCTGAGATACTTTTATACTCATTTGACAAAGAAGGCTCAGAGAGAGAGAGAGACAGAAGAAGTAACTTGTCCAATGTCATTTACCTTGTAAGAGGAATCTTAACCACTATGCTGTACTGCCTTGGAATGGGAAACCACATCCGCCACCTCAGAAGGGCAGACACAAAGGGTTACCTATTCTAGGCAGGCCTGGGTAGTGCCAGCCATAACTCTCCCTCTTGCTCCCTCTTTTTAATCCCGCCGCCTCCCATGCAGGCTTCAGGCTCAGGGCTTTGTGACAAAGTGGGCATAGGAGTCTTCTGCCCACCTCATCTTGTGGCTCTAACTCGTCGCTTCTGTCCCCTTGGACGCTCCAAGTCCCACCCCAAGACCTCCTACCTGGTTTCTGGGAGGCAAATCCGCGGGCGGCCTGGAGAAGGAGACCTACGCAGAAGGGAGGACGCTGAAACCGATCTTCTTAAACAATCCAACCTTTCCACGGCCCTTGCATACTCTTCCTCTACGCTCTTTACGTCTCAGCGCCTAACCGCAACCCCATTTCTTCCCCACCTCGCTGACCCAGTCTCTCCGAACTTATCTCACTTCTTCCCCCACCCACCACCCTTTCTCCCTTATCCTGCCGCTGGACTTCTCCCCTAACCCCGCCTCCCGTATTCTCCATCTCCTCGGAACCCCATTCCCCTATTTCCGCCACCCTATTTTTCAGCCCTTCACCTCGAGGGTGGAGGCCCCATTGGTCGGAGGGAAGCCTGGCTCTCCCTCTGTTTGGCAACCTAAGTACTGGGACCGGGGTCACTGCCTGTGTCCGAACCGAACTCAGCGCCCTCCACGCTGCTCTCAGCATGATGACTTCTGACCCTGGCTGGGCCCGCGCGACGGCCGCGGTCCCTTTCTTAGTACGGACAGAGTTACACGGGCGCCACCATATTGGCTCAGGCTCGACAAATCGAATGCAGTCGCGAGACCTGAGCAGAAGAAGACCGAGAGAATGGATTGGACAGGCAGGCCTAAATGATGACGCAAAGCATTGGGTGGAGTTGAGAGATCTGGTTAGCGGCTGCCTGAGGTTGGAAGTGTGGTCGTTGTCTTGCTTCGTGGTCGTTAGTGGCGTGAGGTGATGTGTAAATACTAAAATGCCACTTTTTCTTGGGCATGTATCCCGTCCTTCATCCCTCGCTAGTTTCCTGGCCTCTGGTCCTGGTTATTTTGGGAGCTTCCGTGGGCCTGCCCCAGCTTTCTTCTCGCCCCAGTCTAGTATTTTCCTCCTCACCAACAAAATCCAGGACAGGGCCCTGTGAGAACTACTAGGTTTCAGCCTCCTTCTCTGGCAGCCTTGTAGCCTAGTGATTAAGGTCGCTGACTTTGGAATCGGGCAGCCCAGGGCTGGAATCCTAGCTCAGCCGTTTACTCACTGTGTGACTTTGTGAGGAAGTCAGGTAACTTTTCTGGGCCTCGGTGTACTACTCATCCATCAAATACGGGGATACTAGTATCTATATTTTAGGCTGTTGGGAGGATTAAATGAGATAGTTGCATGCAAAGCACCTAATATACAGTAAGCATTCAATTAGCTGTAATTATTAATATTTGTGAAATGAAGGATTGATCTTTTCTGAGGTCTCTTCGCCATGTCCCATTACACTCTGTGACACCCTCCATGTCACCCTTGCCACTGTGCTCTATTTATCAGTGTTCCAGTCTCTGCCATTAGAATGGGAACTCACTGAAGGTCCACTGAACTGAGTCATTTCTGAATCTTTGCTGCCGGTACAGGGACTAGATTCTAGGTGAGGGTTGGTTGAATGAATGACTAAAGAAATGAATAAACAAATGAAAAAATCTGACTACTGTTGTTATTAACTGCCATGGAGTCAGTCCCTGACTCTCATGACTTTCGTGCACAGTGGAATGATACACTGCCCCGACCTGTGCTACCCCCATATCAGACCATTGTAATTCATAGTGTTTTCACTGGCCGATTTTCAAAGTAGATCACCCGGCCTTTCTTCCTAGCCTGTCTTAGTCTGGAAGCTCTGCTGAAACCTGTTCAGCATCATAGCAACACAGAAGCCTCCACTGACAGATGAGTGGTGGCTGCATATGAGGTGCACTGGCTGGGAATCGAACCCAGGTCTCCCATATGGAAGGCGAGAATTCTACCACTGAACCCCTACTGCCCCCACCCTGACTGCTAGGGCCTTGAAAAGAAAGACTCAGGCACACTCAAGAATTTCTTAAGAAAGAAAAAAACAGTTTAAGAGACCAAAATTACAGGAAGCAAGTACAAAAGGCTAGTGGGTGGGGCTGCACATTCTTAAAGTGTGCAGGTTGCCTGGGAGGCCCAGTCCACAGAGACAGGACATATGCAGAGGGGTGATGGAGACCAGGAATATAGGAGACTGAGAGGAGCCTCTGGCATTCCTGAGACTGGGGTGGTTTTTAGCTTACTGACCAGACCCTCTCTTGTAGACAGCCCAGGCCCCTCAGGGGGCAGGCCCAGCCAGATGGGGCAGTCCCAGGAAGCCCTAAAAGCCTCCCATTCCCTCCACCCCATGAATCCGGAGGCCCTGTAGCAGGGGGAAGTCCAGCAGTGGCCCAAAGATACAGTCATCCTCCTGGCTTGGGGATGGGGACACTGGGGCTCCCAGAGGGCTGGTCTGGAACCAGAGGTTCTCATAGGACTTGGGGCTGGGGGTGAGGCCCCCCAAGAGGGGCTGAGTGGAGTCACAGCGGAGGTAGTGCCCTGGCCCTGGGCTTGTGGGGCTCTCCAACACCTGCCCATAAAGGACCTGGTCATTGGTGCTAGACTGGGGCTGGGGCTGAGTGGAAGCTTCTCTTGGTCCCCCCTGAAGCACATAGGCCTGGACCAGGGTGGGGACGCCACAGGTCCCCGAGTTGTCACTGGACTCCCAGGGCCCTGGCTTCTTCTCCTCCTCCTCCAGCACTGTGATCTTGGCGATGGGGGGCATGCTGGGGTCCCGAAGGCTGGGCAGCTGGAAGGTCTCCTGGACATAAGGACATGGGTTGAGAGGATGGTACACTTCAAGATGTCTGCCCTAGCCACTGCCCTTTCCTGAGTCAGGCCAGTGGTGGGGTCATTTCTGCTGCTCTCCTGGAACTCAAAGGGTTACATTTGCAATGCTCCTCTTATGTGCCTGACACATGCTGGGTGCTTTACAGACTCACCACAGTTACTCTTCCCCACAATCCTGTGATTAGTCCCAATTCACAGTGAGGGTAGTGGGGTCAGACTGGCAGAGCTGGGATTCAAACTCAGGTCTGTTTCACTGCAGAGGATCTTGGTAGGAATTGACAGGAGGTCCCAACCACTTGTCCTTAGAGGGGTTTCCCTTCACTTTGGGCCTGGGCCAACACCTCCACCCCACTTCCCTCTCCTTGCAGGCTTCTCACCTCTGCCATGATAGTGGGCACCCAGGCGCTCAGGCTGCTACGGGCTGGGTCTGGGACACTTGGCCAGAGATGATTCTTCCTGCTGGAGGAGATGTCAGGTGAGGGCTGGGCCCAGTGTGCCCTTTCATCTCTCCGTCCTTCCTCCCACTCACCCCCAGTGGCCGAAGGGACGCCTCTTAGTGCAGAGAGGGGAAGGTGGAGGGTTGGGACTTCCAGACACGGCCCCTGAGTCCTGGAGGGCTGGGAAGAACTTAGATTGGCCCACCCAGGTCTGCAGTTCCTTGTGGGTAGGGGAAGCCAAAGGTGGGTGTCCTGTCTCTCAAAGCGACTCACCTGGGACTACAGCAGAGCCAGGCAGCCCCACAGAGGGAGATGAGCAAGAGCAGAAGGGCAAACAGACCCAGGAGGATGTGCAGCTCAGACTCATCTGGGGTGAGGAGAAAGCCAGAAGAGGTTAGAGTGCATGCATGTGAGGTCTCCTCCCTCAGGCTGGGATCCCAGGGTGGGGCTGGGTCTCCTCCCTGGGGCTGGGATCCCAGGTCTGGGCGGGACCTCCTCCCTGAGGCTGGGATCCCAGGGCAGATCTACTCTCAGAATGGGGAATCTTTGTGTGGGGCACCTGGGGTACCCTCCCAGCAGCCCTCTCTGCCCAGCCCCTGTCTCCCCTTACCCAGGGCCAAGGTCATCAGGGTGAGGCCTGTATTGTTGGTGGCCCCGCCCCGGCTGGTGGCCATGAGGTGAACATGATACAAGCTGGCAGGCTCCAGGCCACGGAGGACAAAGTTCCAGGAAGAGGCATTCAGGACGGTGGCTGGAGGGTTAGGGAGCACTGTCAGTGTGGGCCTGGATGCTGAGGACTTGGGCTCCCTCCATGGTTCTCGAGCACCCCTGGCCCCTTTCTGGGATAGACTCACAGAAAGATTGCTTCTGAGCCTTGGTCCAGAAGATGGTATAGTGTGTAAGGGGGCTCTTCCCCAGCTCAGGGGCCTCAGGCACCCACTCCAGCTCGGCCCAGGTCTTGCCAATGTGCTTTAGATGCAGCTCTGGAGCATGGGAGGGGGCTATGGGAAGAGAGGTGCAGGGGCTGTCAGGAAGTGAGACAGGGCAGAGAGCCCCACTGGACCCCTTATGTTCCAACCAGACCCAAGAACTGGGATATGCTGCAGGGTGGGTGAGAAAAGAGAGCCCAAGGGGACTCCTGCCCCATTTCTACTTGCTTGATGGTCTTATTTTCTGAGAAACTTTGTTTGAATTCCATCTGTCACTGTATCTGAGTGGTAGATGGAATTAAAAAGATCCTGGCTGTGGCTGAGCCAGGATTTGAACCCAGTTCTGTTTGATTCCAAAGCCTCACTACCCGATTGCTGCCGGGCCTGATTTTGTCTGACTCAGAATCTGATTTCTGCCACTCATCCTCTGAATTTATGCCAGGTCCTCTGTCTAATTTCTGTCTGATAAGACACCTGATTTCTGTTAGGGCAATTGCTTGATTTTTGCCAGGCTTGTTCCTGAATCCTGCCAAACCCACTGACCAATTTCTGTCACCCTACCACCTGATTTCTGTCCAGCTGCTTTTCTAGGGGTCAAATGTAAGCTAGGGGTAATTTTAGGATTGGGAGAGAGGCCCTTTCCAGGGCCAGAGGTAGGGAAGGAAGGAAATGCTCCCCCATATCCCTGATTGTTGGGACCTAGGCAGGCCTTGGGAAAAGAGGAGAGGATTCTGGCAAGGGGCCTGGTGGCTGACGAACCCTTCTCTTGAGAGTAGGCATAGATGTGCTGGGAGGGTCCCATGGTGTCCTGGTACAGCGGTGTCACAGTGATCTCATAGAGCTCAAAGGGCTTGATGTTCTCTGCAGAGAGAAAATGGGGTAGGTGCTTTGATTAGGGGCTAACCTCCACTAATGGTCAGAAGCTAATCTCAGACCTCTAGTCAGGGCTAACCTGGACCTCACGATGCTGGCCTAATCTCCTCAATTTCTTCTTCAGATAATGAGGGCTAAGGAAGAAAAGTAGAAGCAAGAGTTAGAAGGGTGGCCAGATCAGGGCTGCAGAAAGAGAGGATCAGGTTAGACTGTAGGAAGAACTTCCTGATTCTGAGAAAAGTGAAGGATCCAGAGAAAACAGATAAACGAGACCTCATAAAAATGAAATACTTCTGTTCATCAAGGGACTTTATCAACAAAGTGAAGAGACAATCTGCAGACTGGGAGAAAATTATCGAGAACCAGATATCTGATAAACGTCTAATCTCCAAAATACACAAAAAACTTCTACAACTTAAAAACAAAAAGACAAACAACCCAATCAAAAATAAGCAAAGGACTTGAACAGACATTTCACCAAAGAGGATATACAAACAGCCAACAAGCACATGAAAAGATTCTCAACGGCATTAGCCATTAACCAGTGCCACTGAGTCGATTCCAACTCACAGCGACCCTATAGGACAGAGCAGAACTGCCCCATAGGGTTTCCAAGGCTGTAATGTTTACGAGAGCAGACTGCCACATCCTCTCCTGTGGAGCAGCTGGTGAGTTCGAATCACTGACTTTCTGGTTAGCAGCTGAGCACTTAACCACCACGCCACCAGGGCTCCCATCCATTAGCCATTAGGGAGATGCAAATCAAAACCACAATGAGGTATGACTTCACCCCATTAGAATGGCAGTGATCAATAAAACAAACAAAACCCCAGAAAACAACAGGTGTTGGCAAGGATGTGGAGAAATTGGAAGTCTTATCCATTGCTGATGGGAATGCAAAATGGTACAAAAGCTGTGGAAATGTTTGGCAGTTCCTCAGGAAAACTGAACATAGAACTACCATATGACCCAGTAGTCTCAATCCTAGGTATATACCCAGAAGAACTGAAACCTATACACCAATGTTCACTGCAGCACTATTCACAATAGCCAAGAGGTGGAAACAACCAAAATGTCCATAAACAGATCAATGGATAAACAAAATGTGGTATATATACAATGGTATATTACTCAGCCATAAAGGAAATGAAGTCCTGATACATGCCACAACATGGATGAACCCTGAAAACATGCTGAGTGAAATAAGTTAGTCTCAAAAGGACAAATACTGTATGATCTCACTTACATGAAATAAGCAAATATACTGAAACCAAAGATTCTTAGTGGTTACCAAGGAGGAGGAGGAAGGGGGCATGCGAGAATTTTGCTTAGGGAGCATTGAGGTTTTGTTAATGATGGTGGAATAATCTGGAAAACGATAGTGAGAATGGATGCACAGCATGAAGAACATAATCAATGTCACTGAATTATACATGTAGAAAGTGTTGAAGTGGTGAATGTTTTGTTGTGTATATTTTCGCACAATAAAAAAAGTTAAGGATCCAGAAAGGCTGGGGAATGTGCTTCACTAGGATGGTTCAGATTGCCCCTAGGCTACTGTCAGACAAGCATTGCTCTCCTTCTCCCCCACCCCCTTGCCCCCCACCCACCTGCCTACACCCGGGTCTGCCTACCTTGTAGCAAAGTCCCTGTGATGTTCCCATTATGCTCCATCCTCCAGGTTTTATTGCTGCCACTGGGGCTGGGGGGACCCAGACCCCACTCAATCACGTAGGCCTGAGGCTGGGAGCTGGGGGAGTCCCAGCCCACCCAGATGCTGTGAGGATCTCGGGCCACGGCATGGAGTCTGGCCAGTGGTGGGCCTGGAGACAGAGTAGGAGACAACAGAATGAAGATAAAAGAAGTGCAGGCCCTGGAGTTAGAAGCCTGGGTTCAATCCTGGCTTTGCTACTTACAAGCTGGGGGACCTTGGGTAAGTGAACATCTGAGTCTCAGTTTCCTCATCTGTAAAATGGAAATGATGATAAAAGTTCCTGACTGACAGGGTCGTGGTGTGGTTTAAATGAGATGATGCATGCAACAAGGTTATCACAGTGCCACAGGTAGAGGAGTACTTGATAATAATAATAATCAAACCCAACTAAACCCGTTGCTGTCAAGTAGATTCCAACTCATGGCAACCCCGTGTGTTACAGAGTAGAACTACTCCATAAGGGTTTCTTAGCTGTAGTCTTTGAGAAACCAGATGGTCAGTTCTTTCTTCTGTGGAAGTGCTAGGTGATTTGACTGCCAGCCTTTAGGCTAGTAGTTGAGTGCAAACTGTTTTCACCACTCAGGGGCCTGTTGTAACAATAATAGCTAACTGTATATGTTGTTGTTGTTAGGTGCTGTCAAGTTGGCTCCAACTCATAGCAATCTTATGTATAACAGAATGAAACGTCCTCTGACATCCTCACAGTTGTTGCTGCGTTTGAGCCCACTGTTGAGCCATCTCCTTGAAGGTCTCCTTCTTCTTTGCTGATCCTCTACTTTACCAAGCATAATGTCGTTCTCCAGGGGTCGGTATCTCCTAATAACATGTCCAAAGTAAGCAAGACAAAGTCTTGCCATCCTTGCTTCTAAAGAGCATTCTGGCTGTACTTCCTCCAAGACAGATTTGTTTATTCTTCCGGCAGTCCATGGTGTATTCAATATTCTTCGCCAATAACACAATTCCAATGCATCAATTCTTCCTCAGTCTATATAGACTTTGGCATGTGCCAGGCACAGTCCTTGACAGATATTAATTCACTGAGTCTTGTAACAGTCCCATGCCATGAGGGAGGTACTATTATTGTCCCCATTTTATCCATGAGAAAACTGAGAGACACAGAGAGGTTACTTGTCTACGAACACCCAGCTAGTGAGTAGGCATATTTGCTATTATGACTATGATTGTGATTGTTATTGTTAGTCTCATCTTGTGAGGACTTATGTTCAGGGGATCTGCATGGTGGCTGAGCTCCCTGAGAATGAGCAATGAACTCAGGGACCATGTTCCAGCTGGAAAAGCTTAGGCACTCTCTCCCAGCTTCCTTGGCAGAATGGACTGTGTGTGTGTGTGTGTGTGTGTGTGTGTGTGTGTGTGTGTGTGTGTGTGTGTATGTGTGTGTAGAAATCACCAGCTTAACCTGGCTCTGGCTAATGATAATAATAATAGCTAACACATATCAAGCAGTTATTTTGTACCAGGCACATATCTTAACTCATTTAAATCCTCAGCATGACTTTTTGAGGTTGGCACTGTTATCATCCCTGTTTACTAGATGAATAAACAGAGCCCTAAGTTGGTTAGTAACTTGCCCTGGTCACACTGTTAACAAACGACAGAACTAGGTTTGAACCCAGGCAGTCTAGCCTCAGAGGTCACATGCTTAACCATGGTGCTCTACTGCCTGCCAGCCCACTTTACCTCTGCTCTCCATGAAGACCACGGAGGTGGGGTGAGAGTTCCCGCCTGTGTTGTAGGCCACAAGGGCCACCTCCCAGGCTTCCAAAGGCAGGTGGAAAGTGCAGTTTAACTCAGTGGTGTTGCAGAGTTGGACTGCCCCAACCTGGCCTGAGGGTCTCCAGGAAACCAGGTACCCTTGGATCCGCCCACTGTCTTCCTCCAGGGGCATTGGCTGTGGTAGGAATAGGAGGGAAAGATAAGGAGAATATACAGATTGAGTGAGGGAGAGCTTCTAGGTGGGGTGGATGGATCACAGGACCCTCCCTCTGTTCCCCTGTGCCGGGTCCTAGGTGGAAGGCAAGGAAGAAGCAAGTTGGTGCTCAAAGTAGGCACTTAATTATTCACTGAATCAACCCTTTGGGGGCATAAGTGAGTCCTGCGTTGTAGTCTCTTCAAAAAGGACATTCCCCAGCTTACTAGGCACATGCAAAGTGCATGAAAATCAAATGCAAATACACCAAGCCTCCCAGACATGTGGGACTCTTGAGCCCCAGCTTTCAGGGCTCTGTCTGGGTTGGAGGAGGTCTCAAGGGTGGAGGGATGACCTTCAGAGGGGGTTACCTTCCAGAACAGCTGCACATTCACAGTCCTGGGGTCCAGCTGCCTCTGCCGCCACCATGTGTCCAGTCTGACGATTGGGGCTGTGGTCAGAGAGAGAGGAGAGGGTGGCTACCAGGGAGGGTCCTGGAGGCTGGACTGGGCACAGAAGGCCGCCCTAGCCCTTCACCACCCACTTACCCCGTTCTGTGGTTTTCAGCTCCAGGCTGGGACTCCAGTCACTCCAGTGGCCTGGCAGGGGCCAGCGGGTGCAGCGCATCTGCAGGGTGTAGGCTGTGGCTGGGAGAAGGCCACAGAGCTTGTGGTGGAGGGTCCTGGAGGGCAAGGGGGTCACCTGGTGGGGGATGTGGCTCTGAGACTGGACGCCTGGGTCCTTCCAGGGCCAGCTCGAGCCCACACATACCCTTCCTTCAGTCACTCCCACCCCTGGCTCTTGAGGTTGCACTCCACCTCACCAGGGCCCAGCTGGCTTCTCCAAGCTGTGGCTGGTAGCGCAGCTCACACTTCTGTTCCATGTACAGGCTTGGCTTCCATGACTCCCAGTGAAAGCACAGACAGTCTGGCTGGGCTGGGGCCCCCTCAGGGCTGGGGTCCAGGGTCCCCAGTGTGGGGGGCTCCAGTTTCACTGCAAGGAAGGTGGTTGTCAGAACCGCTTCCTGCCCCACCCTATAGGGCTCCTTAGCTCCCTCTTGTTTCTGTCTGTGGTTCTGTTTTCCTCCCTGGGTCTCCATTCAGGGAAGTTTCTCTCTGTATATGTCCCTGTATCTCTGTCCATTCACGTCTCCATGTTGTTTTGGGTCTGTCCCTATATATATGTGTCTCTGTTTCTTACTAGGTGTTTGTTTTATGCTTGCCTCAGGGCCTTTGTGCTGGTTGTTCCCTCTGCCTGGGACACTTTCTGCCGATATCCACATGGCTCGCTCCCTCATCTCCTTCAAGTATCTGCTCAGATGTTACTTCCTCAGCGAGCCCTTCCCTGACCATCCTATTGAAATAGCAACTGTCCCCCACCCTGCTCTCCCTATGCTCCTTCCCTGCTTTAACTTCCTCATCACACTTATCCCCATCTGACGTTCTGTTTCATTTATTTTGCCCACTAACATGTAAAGTTCTGAGGGCAGGATTTGGGATGTTTTGTTCACTGCTGTTTCCACAACACCTGTAACAGTGCCTGGTACATAGTCGGCACTTCAAGAAATTAATTCTTTGTTGAAAGAGTGAACGAATGTGTCTCTTTGCCTCTGGGTCTCTTCCACATCTCTGGGTCTGCCTCCATTTCTCTGTCTCCAACTGCATCCCTGTTATCTCTGTCTCTCTTCTCTGCCTCTGTCTCTAGGTCTTCCAATGTCTCTTTGTCCGTCACTTGGTCCCTGACTCCCTCTCGGTGCCTCTCTGGTTCTGCCCATTTTGGGGACCTCTCCCCACGCCTACACTCAGAGTCACCCACCGAGGTCTATGGGATGAAAGCACATTTGTGGGGACAAGCTGGTCCCCAGTGCATTCTCTGCCTGCACCCAGACGACCAGACTCTGGTACAACAGTAGGTGTTTTCGTTGGATGGAGCAGTGACTTTGCCTGGCCTCAGGCACACATTCCTGAATGGGCTCCTCTTGGGTCTGGCATTTGCCCCGGCTCCTGCCAACAGGATCAGGCTTGAGTGCCAAGCAGGAAAAAAACAAAACAAAACAGTCCTACCCATGCCCCAGCCCAGGACCCAAAGGAAGGGTGCTGAGGCAGGAACCCCCACTCACTTGAAGCTCTTTAGGGTGAAGTTGGTGGGCAGATGAGGGTCCGGTCCTGGCTCCCACTGGCAGATGAAGCTATTGGTTGTGAGGTTCATGAGGCAGGACAGGTTGTACGGTGTTGGGGGAGGATCTGTGTCGGGAGGGGAGAGGGTGAGGACTTTGGGTGGGATCAGTCAGAAAGCTCTGGCTGGGACCAATTGGCCTCGTTTTCCTGCTATGAACGGCCCCCTCTGGGATCACCTTGTCTATCCCCCTGTCTCCATACAATGTGAACCTGGAGGGGCAGGCCGGGGGGAAGGGAAGCCAAGTTAAAGGCATGGATAGCGACAAGCATCACATGACCCCAGCATCCTGGTGACCCCCCACCTCCAATCTTCCTGACTCCAGACCCCTTTGTCAGTGACATTGTAATGTCTGGGTTTTCATCCTTGTTCTGCCATTCATTAGCCATGGGATCTTGAAGTTAGTTAACTGTTCTGTGCCTCAGTTTCCTCATCTGTAAAATGAGAGTAATAGTAATATACCTACCCCCTGGGTTATTGGGAGGGCTAAATGATTCATTGCACATAAAGTATTTAGAACAGTGCCTGTGTTAGCTGCTAGTATTATTGATTCTTAAACAAGAACCTTGGTGTCTTTCTTTCTTTCTTCCTTCCTTCCTTCTTTTCTTTTTTTCTTTCTTATGCCTCCCCTTTGCACAAACTCTATCCTGCTCAATTTGAACAGAGGGCTCAGACTGGGGTGGGAGAGAAGCTGGGAGCAAGCCCAGCTAGTAGAGAATGTCTTCCTGGATACACCCTCCTATGGCCAAGGAGTTGAGCTTGCTCAGCAGCCATACAGAGTAGTGGTTACGGCACTGGCTTTAGAGCCACACTGCCTGATAGAAATCTTGGTTAGTATATGACCTTGGGCAAGTCACTTACCCTCCCTGAGCCTCAGTCTTCATACCTGCAAAATGGGGCTAATAATAGTACCCACTGGTAGGGAAGTTGCCTGGTAGAATGCCCATAAAGTGCTTATTGAAAAGTATTGGCAAGTATCTTATTAGTATTGGCAGGAGGACATTGGAGACAGAGTGGGTGGATGGTTGGAGGAACTTACAGCCTGCCTGCAGCTCTACTTGGTCCAGGATCTGCAGGCTGTTGCCCCAGAGAATGCAGCAGGAGAGACGTGCCTGAGTGTGGTTGAGGTGGGGCAGGGTAATGGTGGACACCCGGGTCCCATCAGGTAGGCGCTGCTGTCTTCCTCCAGGTTGAAGCTCTGATTCCAGTTTCCACAGAATCTCTGACTCTGGGTCCAGGTGGTTGCAGTTCTGGCCAATGACGCAGGAGGCTGTGACGGGATCCCCCAGGCGGACGATGGAGTCTGAGAGGCTGATGTGCCCACACTCGGCAAGGCCTGGGGTGGAAGAGAATGGGCCATGGATGACTCCTCTGCCTGGCAGAGCCAGGCTATTAGGCAAGCCTGTTACTGCTGAACTCAAGGCCTTACCTTCCTGCCTCACTTGCTAAGGCCTGGAGCTGGAATGAAAGGATTGTGTGGGGGCTGGGAGCGGCTGTCGGGGGTGAGATACAGAGCGATGTGCTGGTAAATGTTTAACAACCAGCTATTCAGGGAAAAGAGACCCTGATTTGTAGTGCGTGCCACTGTCCATAGTGCAAAATACTCCTACCATGGCCGATTTCAAGCTACCACTCTGAAATCACTGAATGTGGAGGTGGGAAGAGATGTGCATTATTGGCTCTTGCAAGCCAGCTCCAACACACCGCCAAATAGACTAGTTCCCTCCCCAAGGATGGTGAAAGCAATAGTTAGAATGATAAGCATCCCACAGCCACAGTAAGCTTTTCAAAATTCAAATCTGACTGTGTTACCCAGTCTTAACCAGAACGCTTCTTCACCAGCACACAATTGCTTTGAAAGGCAGTATGGAGTGGTAGATAAGTGGATATTGGTAAGGACTTGGATATTGGAGCTAGACTGCCTGGGTTTAAGTCCTGATTCTATCACTTGTTAATTATGTGACTCTGGTATATTGTGGAGGTTTTCTGCGCCTCAGTTTTCTCGTCTGTAAAATGAGGATAAAAATGGTCCCTACCTTAGTGTTGCCAGTAGGATTAGATGTGTAAGGCACTTAGAACAGCACTTGGCATGTGTTTAAGTATTTACGGTGATGATTAGGATAAAGACCCAAATCTTTCACATGGCCCTTGTGGCCTGGCTCCTGCCTAACTCTCTCAGTTTCAGCTCTGACCATCCTCTCTCAGATCTGGCTGCTTTGGCCTTCTTGCTGTTCCTTGAAAATGGCATGATCTCTCCAATCTCGGGATCTTTGTACCCCTGTTCCTTCTTGGGTTACTCTTCCTTCTCTCTTTCCACCCCCTTTCACCTGGTTAACATTTAGGTATCTGGGAGAACCAGTTATTGTTGTTAGGTGCTTTTGAGTCGGTTCCGACTCATAGCGACCCTATGTACAACAGAACGAAACACTGCCTGGTCCAGCACCATCCTAACAATGTGTTATTATGCTTGAGCCCAATGTTGCAGCCACTGTGTCAGTCCATCTCGTTGAGGGTCTTCCTCTTTTTTGCTGACACTTTACCAAGCATGATGTCCTTCTCCAGGGACTGATCTCTCCTGATAACATGTCCAAAGTATGTGAGACAAAATCTCGCCATCCTGGCTTCTGAGGAGCATTCTGGCTGTACTTCTTCCAAGACGGATTTGTTTGGTCTTTTGGTAGTCCACGGTATGTTCAATATTCTCCGCCAACACCATAATTCAAATGCATCAATTCTTCTTTGATCTTCCTTATTCATTGCCAGCTTTCACATACATATGAAGTGCATGAAAATACCATGGCTTAGGTCAGGTGCACCTTAGTCCTCAAAGTGACATATTTGCCTTTTAGCACTTTAAAGAGGTCTTTTGCAGCAGATTTGCCCAATGCAATATGTCGTTTGATTTCTTGACTGCTGCTTCCATGGATGTTGATTGTGGATCCAAGTAAAATGAAATCCTTGGCAACTTCAATCTTTTCTCTGTTTATCATAATGTTGCTTAATGGTCCAGTTGTGAGGATTTTTGTTTTCTTTTATGTTGAGGTGTAATCCATACTGAAGGCTGTGGTCTTTGATCTTCATCAGTAAGTGCTTCAAGTCCTCTTTACTTTCAGCAAGCAAGGTTGTGTCATCTGCATACTGCAGGTTGTTAATGAGTCTTCCTACATTCCTGATGCTGCGTTTTTCTTCATATAGTCCAGCTTCTCGTATTATTTGCTAAACCTACAGATTGAATAAGTATGGTGAAAGGATACAACCCTGATGCACACCTTTCCTGACTTTAAACCACACAGTATCCGCTTGTTCTGTTCAAACAACTAAGTATTCTGAGTACAATTAAATGTTCTGGAATTCCCATTCTTTGCAATGTTGTCCATAATTTGTTATGATCCACACAGTAGAATGCCTTTGCATAGTCAATAAAACACAAGTAAACATCTTTCTGGTATTCTCTACTTTCAGCCAAGATCTATCTGACATCAGCAATGATATCCTTCGTTCCACATTCTCTTCTGAATCTGGCTTGAATTTCTGGTAGTTCCCTGTTGATGTACTACTGCAACCATCTTTGAATTATCTTCAAAATAATTTTATTTGCATGTGATATTAATGATATTGTTCAGTAATTTCTGCATTCTATTGGCTCACTTTTCTTTGGAATGGGCACGAATATGGATCTCTTCCAGTCGGTTGGCCAGGTAGCTGTCTTCCAAATTTCTTGGAACCAGACTAGGCCCTTACTAACCAGATTAAGCCAAGATTCTGTATTTTCCCAAAGCTCTTATTATCCTTTATAATTATAGAGTCATATGATTATTTGCTTGTCTGTCTCCTCAGCTAGACCGTACATTCAGCTAGGCCAGGGACCTTGTCTCTTTTGCTCATTACTATATTCCCAGTGGCTGGCACAGAGACGACCCTTGGTGAATATTTATTACCTACATAACTCAGTAAGCACTGCATTTTCCCCGCGCTGCCCTAAGAAGTGAAGCAACCTTGCCCAAGATCATAGAGCAGGTTCTTGACTCTCCGCATGGGGCTCCTACCGCTTCACAGACTCAGAACTTCAGGCTGAAAGGAAACTTGCAAATCTGTTTACTTTGAAACTCCACCTGAGGCTGTATTCTCTACGGCAGAGCTTGAGCAGCCTGTTTTTATATGGCCTGTGAGCTAAAGATGGAGGTTAAAGTGTTAAAAACACAAAAAAGAACATGTAACAGAGACTGTATGTGGCCTGCAATACCTAAATATTACTATCAGACAAAGTTTGCCAGCACCTTCTCTACAGCATCCTGAGGTCAGTCCTGGCCTCAGCTTGCATACCCCTGGAGACGGGAGGCTCGTCACCTCTCAAAACAGTTTCCATTGTTGAAGAGCTCTGCCTGTGCTTCCTTAATTCAGGATGAAACTTGCCTCCTTGTGACTTCCACCCCAATCCCTTTGCTGCCTACCATGGCTGCACAGGACCCAGAGGTTCCTTCTGACAGCCCAGAAGAGATTTGCAGACAGGGCTTGGGTCCTCCCAGTCTTTTCTAGGCTAACCAGCCCGGGACCTCTCACCATACCTGATGGGTGGTGGTTTGCCTGATGGGTGGGAGCCCAGCTGCCACACATACATGACCCAGTCTTGAGTTTCTTAGGATTCTCTAGGAATCTCAGGAGCAGTAGGGCGGGCAATGCAGGGAAATGATTCCATCCCTCCCTCCTCAAATAGCTATCCCTGTAACTCCCTCTCCTGCCATGCCCCCACCCCCCACCACACTCACTTCCAGGGAGGAGAAGGACGATCAGGACCACTCTGGTCAGGCTCCAGGTACCCAGCCCCGCCATAGCGCCAACCTGGGTGCTCACCTGGAGGCAGAGGAGATTGGTTAAGAGCATGGGCTTTGACGTCAGAGCTGACCTTAATCCTTGCTCTGTAACAGTGTGGCTTTGGCCCAGTTACTTGACCTCTCTGAGTTTCAGTTTCTTTGTCTGTAAAATGGAGGTCACAATAGTGTATACTGCACAGAGCCTCAGAGGAAGACATGAAATGATACATGTCAGGGGCTTAGCACCGTGTCTGGCACATAAGAAATGACTCTAAGTGATAGCCCCTGTTATTATCATACCTGCCTTCCAGGAGACAGCAGGGAAGGGAACAGCGAGGAAGAGCATTGTTCCCCTTCCTTTCTGTGTTAACCAGCACCCCCACACCCTGAAAGCAGAACCTGAGGCAAAGGCTTGCGTGAAGGTGGTTTATTTTGGAAGATCCCAGGAACAGGGTAAGGAAGCGGGGAGAAAGAAACAGGGGAGGAGGGAAAGCCAACACAAGGTTACATTATTGAGCTTGCCATCTCTGAGGGCAACTGGGGCTTGATCCTGCAGGGACCTTCTGAGGAGCTGTGTAGAGCATAGCTCAGAATGTCCACCCAAGAGACAATTTATCCCGTCGGTGAGAGGGAGGACAGGAACATTAACCCACCGACTCCTGCCCCCAACTGGTCAAGGGATGCCCCTTGGGGAGGCATGAACTCTCTTGCACTTCCCGATTGTGCATGTATGAGTGGGTTCTCCTAGGTAACCAACCCATGCCAAGGGTGTCAGAGACGCTCCCTGGGAGAAAGTGAGAACTCCATGGAACAGGGGCTGTCAGGTTACACCTGTGGGAAGCTGGCTGCATTGGCGATGGCTGGAGGCAAAGGTGGGCTGCGAGGATGTGAGGTGGGGCACACAAGGGGTCTAATTCACCCTCAGTTCTGGGCACAGAGCCTTGGAGGCTCTCTGGGGCCAGGTGTTGTGTGGTCCTGGAGGGAGGGAGGATTCACTCCAATCTCAGGAAGTGTGCAAACGGTGGCTACTGGAGTGGGCAGCCTCCACCTGCCCTCCCTTTCCCCTCTTTTGCTTCCAGCCTAACCCCCTATCCTGCTTCTACTGGGGTTGTGGGGCCAGACACCTGATCCCCCAGCACTAATTGATGCTTTTGGTGGCGGGTCAGTGGGAATCACTAGCCAGCCTGTAAGTACATGCATAAGCACATATGTGCAGGGTTGTTCCAGCAGAGAGACCCAAGTGGCCAAGCTGCTACCTCGTGCTCAGAAGGGAGAAAAGCTAGGAGAATCTTTTTCTCTTGCTCCCAAACAGAGGCATGACTAAGAGCTCCCCAGACACTCAAGGCTGTTCCTGCTTGCAGGGGCCTCACAATAATCTCCAGTTTGCCCAGATACGTTGCATTGTCAGGATACAGGGTGACTACTAGCCTATAAGTCGTGACTGTGCACATTAGAAAAAAGAAAACACCCCTTCTTCTGGTCAGATGCAGCCACACACTAGGTCTCACAGCTTAGTGACTGGAGAACAGGCTGAATTTTAGCCTTCGCTTGCCCCTCAGCTGGGCATCTTTGTGCACTGAGAAACCTGAACAACTGCCCAGAGCATGCCTGCCTACCAGTCAGTGGTTGGCAATCCCCTCCCCACAACAACACACACTGCTTGGAGAAGATTTTGCCTCCTAGGTCCAGATTTTGGACCACTGGTTCCCATCTCCATGAGTTTTTGATCATGCCCCAGCCCTGCTGCCCTAGGGAGGGTCAGCTTCAGGTCCAGCTTTATGCCCGTTAAAGTACCATCTCTTCCCCCTCCACTGGCTCCTGTCTAGAGTGGGCATCCAAACCCCAGGCATCCTCCACATGGGATGCTGAGTGTTGGCTGTTTGGCATCCACCCCTGGTCCCCCGTGGCAGCCCCAGGCGCCCACCACCTTGGTTAAGTGGGAGCTGGCACCTGTTGAAGCATGGTCCCACCCTTGGGGAACAGGATGAGAAACTGGGAGTCCAGCTCTGAGCCAGATCACCTGGTCTGAACTCCAGCTCTGCCACTTACCTGCTCTGTGACCTTGGACAAGTTACTTCACTTTTCTGAGTCTCAGTTACCCCATCTGTGAAAAAACGATACCAACAGCACTCATCTCCGGGGCTGATGTGAAGATGGAATGAGACAAGCTTTGATGAAAGCACATATCCTGTGCCCTCATGGAGCCCAGCATGATTTAACGTCCCCCACCTCCCTTCCCAGGCTATATGGTCAGAGCCTCCTGAGACTGCCACCTCATTTTTGTCTTTATCACACTGCACAGTTTCAAAGCCCCATTTCTGGGTCTCCTCCTTCTAGTCCCTTTGTCGCTCTAGACCATTGCACTTCACTATCTCCCCTTTACTCCGGCCAGCTCCCCTGGGACTCCAGGTGCTCCTGACCCTTGGTCTTGGCTTGCTAGGTGCTCCTAACCCTTTCTGTCCTGGTTCATCGGGTGCTCCCTGTAGTGGCCCCCATTCCACTCCCTTCTGTTTGTTTTCCTCTCCCTATTCCCATCACTCTCCCCTCCTCTCCTTCTCAACCTCTTATCCTTCTCTCCCCTGTTCTTTCTACTACTCTCTGGGAAGAGGATGGGAGGGAGGGAGGGGCTGGGAAAAAACAGAGAAGGAGAACTGCCCAGATGTGGTTCAAAGAGAGAGAGAGAGGGAAGGAGAGAGAAAGAGAGGGAGTAAAGGAGAGAGAGAGACATTGAGGGAGGGAGACAGAGAGAGAGAGACAGAGAGAGAGAGGCAGAAAGAGTAACAAAAGGAGACTAAGGCAGAGATACGCAGACAGGCTGACATGACGGGAGACTCACAGAGATAAAGACCGAGACCAAGAGATTACTGACCAGGAAAGAGAGACTGAGGCACTCTGAGGCCGAGAAGCAGTCTCATATCTGAGAGTTGACGGCTGAAGAGACAAAGGGAGAGGCACAGAGAGGCTCCAGGAGGGAGACACAGTGAGAAACTGAGAGAGAAAGAGAGCCAGAGAGGGGCTGAGGGAAAGAGAAACGGATAGCAAATTACAGAGATGGAGACAGGGAGAGATACAGAGACTGAGACTTGCAGATACCCAGGTTCTGAGAGACAGACACAGAGGGATTATGTTTGTCCCTGAGCCCAGCTGTGTCCCACAAGAGATACTCGGCTTCTTGGGACTTCCCTGATGCACTGCCCCCGCCGCCACACCCCCCCAAAAAAGTCTGCTGCATCCTTGGGAAAAGAGACTCAGTGTCCAGGGCTCCTGACTCCAAGGAAAAAACACTGAAGGTGGGGTCCTTGGCCCCAGGCCCAGGGCCACCTGGATATAGGCCCTTGGCAGAGCTGGGGGGAATGGACCTAGAGTCCCATCAAGCTGAGGGCTCAGTCCCTCCCTGGGGATCCCCTACTCACGCTGGAGCTGCCAGCCAGGCACCCACCAGGCCTCCCTGTCTCTCCTCTCCTCTCCTCTTCAGGGTAAGTTCCTGAAAACAGCCACTGTCCTGTTCTTTCCCCCAGCCCTGTCGTTAATGGCTCAGCCTCTGACAGGCCAGGAGCTGGGGATTGCAACACCTGCCCAGCCTCCCGCCTTCCCTCCCTTGCACCAAGGGCACAGGCAGCCCCTTCCTCCCAGGAAGGAGCCAGGGAGGGAAGCTGTAAGGCCCACGCAGCCTTCCTGCCTCGGAGGGTCTTAAAGGGGCTGGGGGATGTGGCAACAATGTCCCCCTGCCTCCGGATTTCCTGAGCTCAAAGTTTCAGGCTGGGCAGGGCCTGGGCTCCAACCTGGCTGGGTGCCATCTCCATGCCCGCCCACCCCCCGCCTGGGGGAGCATCGCTTAGAGACAAACCCTGGGCTAGAAAGGGCACTGCACCCTAAGCACCTTCTCAGCAACATCCTGGGTCCTGATGCCCACAGTACTCAGGAGGGCATCCGGAAGTTACGGGGGGGTTTATAACTCAGTCCTTTCATACTCTGTCCTTAGTATGAAGAGTCACTGTGTACTCTCCTCCATTGCTCAGAGGCCAAGGCAGATGGAAAAATGAAGACTCTGGGGACAAGACAAAGTGCTGTCCTGTTCGGGCACAGAGTTTTCATATGTTCACTAAAAATTAGTGTAACATTTTCCCCAATGATTCTGCTACATGGAGTTTTTAAAAATTGAGTGAAATAGACTACGCTTTATGTCTTTCTTTGTCTGAATCCATGAATCCCCTATGATGGTTGGCAAATAATTTTCTGTGCACTTTTCTGGAGAAGGTTCACGGTGTTCAGAGTTTATTGGCCCCATGTCTGGATTTACAGAGTGTCTATAACACATGATCATTTTTTAGAAAAAGTGGGCTTCTGGGGCTGGTGTCATGGGGCGGACCTATGTTGTAGTTCTGGTTCCAGGTCGAAATATTCAACTGCTTGCCGCAACTTCCAGAGGTGTCCCTCAGGCTCCAAACAGGAGCTCATCTTTGCCCTCATCTCATCCTTTTAGCAGATCCCATTGACTCTTCTTTCAAAATATAACCAGAATCCAGGTACACAGGTATTCCCTGTAAAATTCTTTCAACTTGGCTCTATGCTTGAATATTTTCATGATAAGATGTTGATAACAATATAAATATCACTTAGACCAATACCAGGCAGGCCCGTCACCCTTATCTCTTGCCTAGATCATTGAGGTAGCCCTCTCTCTGATGTTCTGCTTCCATTCATCCTTGCCCCCCACAGTCTATTGCTCTTTCAGTAGCCAGTGTCAAACTGAGCAAACATAAGTCACATCATGTCGTCCTCTGCCCGAAGCCCTCAATGGCTCCCATCTCACTCAGAGTCAAAATCAAAGCTATTTAAATGGTTTACCGGGCCCTATCCAACATGGTGCCCTGTTACCTCCCTGACCCCTCTCCTATTACTCTCCTTCTTGCTGCTGTGTTCCAGTTACTCTATTTTCTTTGCTGCTCCTTGAACTTGTTAGGTTTCCTCCTGCATCAGGGCCTTTGCACTTACTGTTTTTTATGCTTGGACTCTCTTCTCCCAAATAGCTATGTGGTTCCCTCCCCTTCCTCAAGTCTTTGCTCAGATATCACCTTCTCATTGAGACCTCCCTTGACCAGCCTTAAAAAAATTGAACCCCCACTCCCTGTTTCTCCTTCTGCCTTTTCCCCCTGGTACCCCTTTTCACTATCTGACATTGGCTGCCTCCTCCCACTAGAATGGCAAGTCCATGAAGCCAAGAGTTTTTTTCTGTTTTGTTCAGTGCTTTATCCCCAGTGTCTACCCTACAATATAGTGGGCCCTCAATACATATTTGTTGAATGAATGATTGAATGAATGAATTTTCTCCCCACTTCATGACATCTGCCCCCCTTCCCCTGCCTCATCTTGGTAAAATGCACCACTATCCCACCTCCCCCCGCCCCCGACAGTCACCCAATCCAGGAACCCAGGAGTCATTCCTCACAACCCCTTCTCCACACTCCCACATCCAATCAGTTCTTCTTTAAAAAATTGTAACGCTCTTTTTTATTGTAATATACATACACTACCACCTAAAGCATTTCGTCAGTTTTGAAATGTACACTTCAGTGACATTGATTACACAATCAGTTCTTAATGAAGGAGAACGGACCGTTTACTCATCCTTCAAAAACATATTCTGAGAGCCTATTTTGCAGCAGGCAGGGGAATACATGGTGAGCGGAAGCAGTTTTAGTTCCTGCCTTTGTGGAGCTCTCAGTCTTGTCAACAATTCTGAGATTCATCTTCTCTCGCTGCCTTCTTCAGGTCTCACCATCTCTTACCTGGACGAGGCACAGCTGCGAGGCCAGGCTCCCTGCTCTGGGCTGTCTCCCTCCCTTCACCTGTCAGCACCCTTGCCAGTGTGAGCTTTCCCACACACACTGCTGACCATGCCTCCCTGCTTCCTCAGAGGCCCTTCATCACATCCTAACTCCTTAAAGGGATGATCAAGATCCCTCACGATGTGGCCCGGCCTCCCCTCCTGCCTTATGTGCCTCTGTTTCCCTAGATGCACCACTTCATGCTCTAGCTGTGCAAATTTGCTTGTATTTCCCTGGTTGTGCCTCAGACTCTGGGTGCATTTGTTTTTGCTGATCCTTCTGCCTGCTATGCTCTTCCTGTCACCTCTGCTTGGCTGAGTCCTGCTTCCTGACCATGTCAGGCATCCAGCCTCTGCAGGGCATTTCTCCTGGCTTCTGTACTGTGGCCAAGCTGGGTCGAGTGCCCTCCCTCCTCCGCTATTTTGCAGTACTGCTAAGGGCTGCCGGCTGTCTGCCTTCTCCATTAAACTGGGAACACCTGAGGGCAGAAATTTTGTTTTCATCTGTCTCCCTGGCCTCACCACAGTGCAGGGCACACAGAGGGTTGTTGTTAGTTACTGTCGAGTTGGCGCCAACTCATGGAAACCCTGTATGTAACTGAAATGTTGCCCGGTCCTGCACCATCTTGGGTCCTTTGTTGGGGCCACTGTGTATTTTGAGTGCCTCTCAACCTAGGGGGCTCATCCTCCTGCACTGTTTTGGATGATATTCTATTGTAATGCATAGAGTTTTCACTGGCTAATTTTTGGAAGCAGACCGCCAGGCCTTTCTTCCTTGTCTTAGTCTGGAAACTGCTGAAACCTGTTCACTATGGGTGAGCCAGCTGGTATTTGAAATACTGGTGGCATAGCTTCCAGCATCATAGCAACATGCAAGTCATCCCAGTACAGCAAACGGACAGATGGAGAGGATACCCACTGCATATCTTTTGGGCTGCAGGATCTTGGAGAAGTTATTTTCTCTCTCTAAGTCTCAATTTCCTCTTCTGTCACAGAGATAATAATTCCTTCCAGGGGTTGCATGAGGATTAAATGAGCTGTTGGAAGTACAGTGCCTAGTGTGGTGACCAGCACATAGTAGGAATTCAATAAAATTGGTTTCCTTTTTCCTCTCTGCACAATTCAATATTTCGGAGTAAGGTTTTACTATCTAATTTGTGTGCCACTGTCCGCTGAGGGCCTGCGCCAGAGAGTGAAGCTGCTGCAGCTGAAATGAAATTTAGATTTGAGGAAGAACTTTGCACAGGGGTAAGGCATTAGAGTGTAGGGAGTCTATGGATGGTAAGTGCCTGGCTACTAACTAAAAGGTTAGTGGTTTGAATCTACCCAGAGGTGCCTTGAAAGAAAGTCCTGGAGATCCACTTCTGAAAGATCATAGCCATTGAAAACCCTATGGAGTTCTACTCTGAAACACGAGTTGGAATGACTCAAGGGCAACTGTTTTTTCTCTCAATTAAATTTTTTTTTTTAATTAGAGTATAGAGAGGTTAAGAGCATAGTCTGAGGAGTCAGACTGCTTGGGTTGGAATGCTGGTTTTGCCACTTGCTAGCTGTGTGACTGTGGACAAGTTAACCTCTCTGAGCCTCAGTTTCATCATCTTTAAAAGGGGGATATAATAGTATCTGCTTCATAGGACATTCGTGAAGTAATGCATGGAAAGCTCATGGAACTGAACCAGAGACACAGTAAGTGCTTAATAAATGTTTACTACGGGGAGCTGAAAAGCACGAGACAGATGTGGAGTCATCCCCTCT